GCTTGTCATGATACCGCTTCATCCTTTCCTTTTACAGAGTCAACCTCTCATAAGCCCTTAGAAGAAATTCATACATTTCATTAATCTGATCCAGTCTGAGGTTTGTTGTTTCACTCCAACTGAGGTTCAACTTCTTTAGTGCCTTGTGCTCCAGCTCGACAGACAAATGACATGCCTTTCCAAACACCAAATGATATGGAGACATATCAATAGGTGCCTTGAAAGATGTCTGATATGCCCATATATCATCATCCAGCTTTCTTTCCCAATTTGTCTTGTTGACATTCATTGTCTTTGCCAAAATCACCTTGATCTCCCGATTCGATACCTCCACTTGGCCACTTGTCTGTGGATGATATGGTGTTGCCACCTTGTGTTGTTTAACCCCATATTTAGCCTAAAGTGTACTAAACACTTTATTGCGGAAATTGGAGCCTCTATCAGTGATAATTTCTTTAGGTGTACCAAACCTTGAGAATAGGTTCTTCTTCAGAAAACCAGCGATGTTTTTACCATCATTTTTAGGCAGAGCCACTGTCTCAACCCATTTGGACACATACTCCCTGCCACCAGTATGTATTTTTTCCCGTAGGAGCTCACAAATGGTCCCATGAAGTCAACTCCCCACACATCAAACAGTTCCACCTCCAAAATGGATGCTATTGGTAATTCATGCCGACAAGAGATAACTCTTTGCCTCTGGCACACATCACACCCCTTGACTAGATTAATTGAGTCCTGATGGATTGTAGGCTAGTAGTACCCACTCAAAGTACCTTGTGGGATGTCCGGGCACCTCTATGATGACCACCTACTAGAGAGGAGTGACAAACTTCTAAGATATGCAGCATCTCAGCCTCAGGGATACATCGCCTGATGAAGGTATCAGTACACACCCTGTACAGATATGGTTCATCCAAAAAACATTTCCCTCTCTACAATCCTCCATTTAAGAAAGTCAAGAACTTGGAGCTAGGGCTTGGTTTGAAGGTGGTGTCTTCATCAATTTTCATGGGAGATCATAGCAAAGGTATGGTGGTCTTGATCCTTGTCTAATTTTCCATTCAAGGAGCCAAATCCAAAGTTATTTCAAAGTATGAAAAATCTAGGTTTTCACTCAATCTCATGGGTTCTTCCACCAAATGGTTTTAAAAGGTTTCTAATGGCACTTTATGGTTATATTGTTGTTGTATTGACGATTTAAGATGAAAATACTCCATGAACCCATGATTTCTCTCTATTCCTAGTTTATGCCTTTATGAAGTGGGTTGCTAGATAATGAATGTATATGAATCAAACTTGTTTAAAGGTCTTTAGATTGTTGAAGTATGTCATTACCCATGCTTATTTATGGTGTATTGTTGGTGTATTGGTATGTGAGGCTTATGGCCTTAAAGGCATAGTATGAGAAATTGGAGTGTTATCATGACATTATATGAATGAGAATTCAATGAAGATAATGTGATCATGTTATGAATGTAAAGGTGTTGTTGTAGGTTGTTCACTGGTTTGGTTGCATAATTACTACCTTATTTTCCATGCTCTTTGATTTCATTACATGCCTTCAAGGTGTTTGACAAAATGTCCAACTATGGAGAATTGATGAATCGATGCTTTAAAGTTTGAGTTATGAGATGTATGGAAATCCAGAGATTTGTTGATGACACTCATGAATGTTGATGATATAATATGAAGGATTCTTCAATATAAAGTATACCTTGAATTGGTAGGGCTTATGCATCATTTTCTTGTATAAATGATTATATTGTTGATTGTTGAATCCTTGGATCGGTAGGCTTATGGCACCCTTCCACACATGCTTATAATGAACCTTGGATCGGTAGGCTAATGGCACCCTTCCATTAATGATAAGTAATGAACCTTGGATTCGGTAGGCCTATGGCACCTTTCCATAAAGGTTAATGATGAGACTTGAATCGGTAGGCCCATGGCACCCTTTCAAGAGGAGTTAATGAGCTTTCCTAAATGTACCTTGAATCGGTAGGCTTATGGCACCCTTTCATGTGTTAAATAATGTACCTTGAATCGGTAGGCTTATGGCACCCTTTCATGTGTGATGATGTCAAAGTAATGAACTATTCTATGGGAATGTAGGCTAAGCACCGAGCGGATTTGGTTAGATGGAAACTCCCCCGACAGTTAGGCATGAGTTTCAATGATCGTCTACCTTATCCCATAAACTATGTGCCCGCATAGGAAGCTAGTGGATCCATTAAGCTATATATACCGGTCTTCCTTAGGCAAGTAGACCACCTCTTTTCGGTGTGGGGATTCATGACACCGGATTCCATGACAAGCTCTCATGGTCTATGTCGGTTAAATGCTTACTTCCCATCATGTGAGATTTCATTATGGTTTCTTGACAGGTTCTACAAAGTGTAGGTAGTAGTATGGGATGCTACCTATACATTGCATGAGTAGGCTTGGAGAGGGTCATAGTGAGTTTCTCTAAATCCTAATGACTGTGACATGAATGTACCCTAAATGAGGTTATTAAAGAATGTTGGCTCTTAAATGCTTAATATGTTATGCATGTTATACTTGGGTTATATTACGAGTTATTTTCCCTTGTCATGTCTTAATTAATGATATACCTCTTATGTATGAATATTGTGCAAAGGTGAAAGAAAGGAATGATAAGTTACTTTAAGTGACTTAAATGTGGTGCCTTAGTATGGATGGTGGTATGGGACGTCATCCATACATTGCACGAGGTATAGCATAAGGGTTTCTTGAGGTGAAGGTCCAAGGTAAAGGTTTTCATGTTGATATTGTTTAAAGGTGATATTATGACTTACTTGATGTTATGCTTGTCTTGTATATCTTTTATGCTATTGTTCATGATATTTCAAAAAGGTGGCATAATGCATGGTTTCTAACTAAAATGTCCCTTTTTAAGCATGTTTTGCATGGTCATCATACTTAGTACATTTTGTGTACTAACCCATATTCTTCATATTTTTACTATAAGTGTAGGTTCCGGCAAGTGATCCCTCCTAGCTAGTTTGAAGTGTTGGATTGCTTTCCTCCAAGACTTGGTATGTCCTCATGGATTCGAGGACAAGACTTTTAAGTTCTTTTGTTCATGTAATAGACTTCTTTTGATTGTAAAGGGCCGTGTCCCTACTTATGTTTTGCGACTGTGTCTAAGATGGCCATGTGAGACTTAGACTTCCGCTGTGTGTTTTTAAAGTTGTTTTAAGAAGTTTAAATGTGTGGATGTAAATAAGTTTTTTTAAAAATTATTCCGCACTATTTTCATTATTGAATGCAATGAATGACTATGTGGCTTGTATAAGACCCCTTCGGGGTCGAGTACGCCTTGTTACGACTTGGGGGTGCTCTCGGGTCGTGACAATCACTCTAGTGCCCAGCAAGTATGCCCTAAATTTCTCAAAAGCATATACCACAGCTAGTAGTTCATGTTCAATAATAGTGTAGTTGCGTTGTGCTATGTTTAGCGATTTGTTGGCATAGTAGATCGGGTGGAAGATCTTGTTGCGCTTCTGCCCCCAACACAAGTCCCAAGGCAGTACCACTAGCATCACACATCACCTCAAATAGTTCTGTCCAATCTTGGCCAATGATCACTGGAGCAGAGATCAACTTCTCTTTTAGGCACTTAAAGGCTTTTAGGCATTCATCATCAAAGGCAAATTTCACCTCTTTCTCCAAAAGCTTGCACAATGGGTGTGCAATTTTTGAGAAATCCTTGATGAATCACCTATAAAATCCTTCATTCCCTAAAAATATTCGAATACCTTTCACACAAATAGGTGGAGGCAACTTTTCAATCACCTTAATTTGCTTTGTCTACCTCCAGTTCCTTCTGCGACACCTTGTGACAGAGGACTACACCTTCTTTTACCATGAAATGGCATTTCTCCCAGTTAAACACTAAATTAGCCTCCTCACATCTCTGTAAAGTGCTGCTAAGATTCAACAAACAATCATCAAATGTGTCACCTACCACAGAGAAATCATCCATGAACACTTTCAAATTGTCCTCTACCATGTTCGAGATGATGGACATCATACACCTTTGGAAAGTTGATGATGCATTACATAATCCAAATGGCATTCCTTTGAATGCAAATGTGTCATAAAGACATGTAAATGTGGTATTCTCCTGATCTTCTGGATTAATTGATATTTGGTTATACCCAGAGTATCCATCTAAGAAATAGTACCACCCTTTTCCAGCCAGCCTGTCTAGCATCTGATCCATGAACGACATTGGGAAGTGATCCTTCAAGTTCCACCTGTTAAGCTTCCTGTAATCCATGCAAACTCGCCAACCAGTGACTGGTCTTTGGGGAATCAACTCGTTCTTTGCATTGGCCACCACTATCATACCACCTTTCTTGGGCACACATTACACTAGACTAACCCAATGACTGTCAGAAATGGGGTACACCACCCCTGCATCCAACCACTTTATGATCTCTTTTTTTACTACCTCTTGTATTGGTGGATTTAACCTCCTATGGTGCTCTATGCTCGGGCTGCAGTCCTCCCTAAGTTAGATCTTATGAGTGCAGATACCCAGAGGTATCCCAATGATGTAAGCAATGGTCCACCCAATTACCCTTTTGTACCTTATCAAAACTCTGATCACGCTGGCACTTGTTCATCATTCAAATCTGCAGCCAAATGACTGGCAAAGTATTGTTAGCACCCAAAAAGATATACCTTAGGTGACTAGGTAGTTGTTTCAGTTCAAGTACATGCGGCTCCTCAATGGATGGCTTTGCTGGAGGATTTGGCATGTTTTTCAGATCCATGTCTAATTTCTTCGGAGCATAAAAATGTGATCCCATGCCTTGCAGAGCATTCAGAGTCTCCACATAGTCATTCCGTAAGTCTTCTTCAAAGTTCATTAGCACAACTGCCAATGTTTCAACATCAAACCTCTCCCTAATAGCAACAATTGGCTCCTCTTCGTCAAATACCTCTATTGCATACACCACATTCATGTCTTATGGTTGCTTCATAGACTTGCATATCTTAAACTTCACCTCCTCATTGTTGAGCCTGAATTTTATCTCTCCACTCTCAACATCAACCAAAGCTCGACCTATAGCCAGAAATGGCCTCCCCAAAATTATGGGAACTTCAAAGTCTACTTCACAATCCAGAATCACGAAGTCTGCCAGAAAAATGAAATTGTCCACTTTTACAAGCACATCAAATAAGATACCCATAGGCCACTTCACTGACCTATCTGCCATCATCAACCTCATCGCAGTGGGGTTTGGAATCCCTAATCCTAATTGCTTGTAAATAACTAGCGGCATCAGATTTATACTTGCCCCTAAATCACACAGGGCCTTTGCAAACTCAAATGATCCTATGGTGCAAGGTATAATGAATGCACCTGGATCCTTTTTTTCTGCACCAGAGATATTGTAGCAATAACACTACAGTGATGAATCTTGTCAGTTAATTCAAAACTTACAGCTCTTTTCTTTGTGACTAAGTCCTTCATGAATTTAGCATATCTTGGCATCTGCTCCAGAGCTTCCACTAATGGGATGTTCACTGATAGCTGCTTCAGCATAGTTATGAACTTTGCAAACTTACCGTCGTAAGATTTCTTCTTGAGTCTGTGAGGGAACGGTAGAGGTGGTCTTGGTATCTCCTGTAAAGGAAAAGTTGCCTCAACTTCTTTTTCTTTCACCCCCTGATTGTTTTACTGTTGGTTGAGCCTCTTCTATATCATATACATGTTTAGCTTCAACCTCTTCTTCTTCATTTCTGCCCATGCCCTATTCCTGCTCAGTACCTGCAGATATTGCCTCATTTAGAATTTTACCACTTCTGGTATTGATAACCATGTAGTATCCATCTTTCTTGTGATTCTAAATAGTGTCACTTGGTAGTGCACCATTCTTCCTCTGGTTCAGTGATGTTGATATGTGTCCCAACTATTTCTCTATCTGCTTGATGGAAGTGGTGTGAGAATCCACTAGTTGACTCATACAAGAGAAGTCACCCTTCATTTCTTTCACAACTGCATCAGTTGATTCAATCTTTTGCAACACCTTTGCCAACATATCTTCTAGTTTGGACCCACTGGCTCTACCACTTGTACGATCTCTATTACTTGAGGGCACATAAACACCACTGCGGTCATTCCTGTAACCATCCATGTTTTGCTAGTTGCCCTGTTCTCTATTTATTGGCCTGTCATACTGACCTTCTCTAGAGTAGTTCCGGCCTGTATTTCGAGAATTATATCCTTGGTTTCCTGAGTTATAATTTTGTAAACCTATTTGATTTCCCAAGTATTTGGCCTCCCCATCTAAGTCAATATCTTGATCTTCATACCTGTTTGAGGCTCTTACAACATTTACCTTCTCAGGACCGGCTATGATATGTTTTATGAGTAGATCCATTTGAGTCCTCATGTGGGCCATGTCCTGATCCCTTTCTTCTTCTCGCTTTTTTCGTTAAGCTGAAAGCTCGAATGTGAACCCCAGATCTCCAACTTCAGCATCTCTGGTGTGCCATGCTCTATTGTTCTTGGAGACTTCATCCATGATTTGCATTATCTCTGGAAATGGTTTTTTCATGAAGAAACCTCCACACACTGCATCAACAACAGGCTTAGTAACATAATTTAATGATCTATAGAATGTCTTTCTGTAAGACCATGGTTCAGACATTTATTCAGCTTTTAGTTGAATGTGCACCAAGTATCATGCATTGCTTCCCCTAGTTGTTGCTTGTGTGTGCTTATCTCATCCTTCATCTGCAGTTCTTGTGACTCAAGATAGAATTCTTCTAGGATGGCTTCCTTTAACTCATTCCAAGTCGTGATAGAGTCATCTACCATCTCATTCAACCAGTTTATCGCCTCTACAGTAAGAGACAACGGGAATAACCTCAATCTCATAGCAGTTTGACTTACCACAGGAATTTTCTATGATTTGCAGATCGCTACGAAGTTCATTACATGTTGATGAGAATCATCACCAACTGTCCCTCTGAACATTCCCTTCAAGTTTAGCAATTGAATCATCGTGCTAGTGATTGTGAATTTCACACCTGGAGGTAATGCAGGCAGCACTATAGCTTTGATGGCTCCAGCTCCATCCTAGTCTAAGTCATTCTCTTCGAACACTCTGTGAGCCGGTTGTTATGCTCGACCCCTTGGAGCTGGTGGTTGTCGGTGGGGAGGAGCTATCTCTTCCACTCCTTCGTGTTCCTCCACCACCCTGGGCGGGTTGTTCACAACATATTGTTGAGCACCTCTTGCAGCAGTCTCAGCTTTAAGGTCCAATCATTGCCTCCGAGCCTCAACTTCATGTGCATTCACCATCTTGCGGATAGTTTTTTGAAGTTTTGGATCGTAATGAATCAATGGAGCTCCCTTACTTTTGGTATTGGGCATGCACTATCGAACTTACCTGTAAGAGACACATAGAAATAACAAGACGTAAATTAGGAAATATATAACTATGATTCGAATAATTGCTAGTAAAATATTTCTAAATTGAAACTCCTCGACAGCAGCGCCAAAATTTGATACGTCCAAACTTACACTTCAATTAAGAAGTATAAATGATGGAAGACAATTTTTAGAACTCAATGTGAGTTGAGGTCGATCCCACAGAGAATTTCTTTACATAAATAGTTTCACTGTCGTGTTTATTCAAATGTTATTATTTCCTAAAAAAGGTAATTGTGAAATGTATATTGGGTTTAGTTTTAAGATCCAAGTAACCAATCTTGTTGAGATAATTAGATTAGAAAATTTAATAGAATCTTGATTTTAAGGTGGTATTGATAAATGAATGAAACTAGGGTTGTGTTTCCTATGACATTACATCTGGTGTTGATTCATGAACGAGTTTCAGGTAATTCATTCTTTGCAAATTACATGCGAGTTAGGTGTATCTAACAATTTTCAGTCTTATTAGATAATTTTTCACTCAATTCCTCTCAGTATTAGAGTGTGATTCGATTTTGCCATCGCATAGTTTATAGTCAAAGTTCTTTTCTCTCGAACTCGAACTTTCTCTCCAATTCAATAGTTTAACCCAACTTTTTCCTAACTATCAATTTTCTCTCGAACAATTGATAGATACAGGCAAGATCTAAAACGTGCACTCATTAGAACAAATGAATAAAGAATGTTAACCTAATTTATGCAAATATGAATCACTTTCTATTCGTTTTATGATGAATCTAAACTTAGATTTCAATCATAGTTCTCACAAACCTAGTTGTGGTGGTTAGCCACTCATGCTTTCAACTGAATAAGCAAAGATTTGTAATGAATGCATTAAGAGAAATCACTTATGAAGGTTTGCAAATTCAAAGAACACTTAATATTCAGAAAACCAAAATCAAACTTCAAATCTCGATGCAATGTTAATCGATAAACAAAGTAGAGAATATTTAGAAAGTAGTCGCTCGTTCCAGATATGACGAGATAATTCAAAATTACAACCTAATTAATTCAAATAGTCAGTCTAAAATGAGTCCTACTCGAAGTAGGATTGAATTTTCAGGACTTATCACTGACAGTACGACGACCCGTCAAAGGCTTCACGGTCCATGAAGCCCTCCGTGTTCCTTTCTTGGCATTCTCAAAACACATCTCTTCAAAACCTATCCATTGGAAATCCACCACGGGTGGCATAACGGATCGTTATGATGACTACATCCCGTGAAGACTTCCATGGTCTTTACTTGGTCCACCAAAATGTAACTCTACATGCCCTCTTCACTTGGAAATCGGCACGACCCCTATCACGAACCGTTATGGGGACCACGGTCCGTCTGGGGTCCCGTGGTCCTTACTTAGCAATGTCAAATTCAACTCCTCGATGCCTGTCTCCTGGAACTCCTTCACGACCTCCATTACGATCCATCATGAAGACCACGGCCCGTCTAGGGCTCTGTGGTCTTCACTTAGAATTTCGTCATTAGCAGCACAAATTCCAGGTTCACTGCTTCCACTTTATGGGCATCAGGACGGCTCATTTTGACAACCACGGCCCGTGATGGGATCTGTGGTGTACCCTTCAGTATATTCATTTTGCGCCTCATTTTCAACTTTTCCCGAGTAAGTGTAAACCTGTCTAGACATTCAACAAACACATCAAACCTTATTTAAATACACTTGGTTCTAGTATTAATCCTTAGTTTTAAGCATCGAATGTGCCATGATTTCACGGCACAATAGTTACGTCTAGGGGGTAGCCTCGGGGCGTGACAAAACTTGGTATCAGAGCATTAAGTTTAAGAGTCCTAGGGTGTTTGAAAGTTGCACTAAGTAGAGTCTCTTTAATAGGTGTGAAGCGTGCCACATCTATGTGGGGGATGCTACAGAGTGTTTTTAGAAAAACTTCACTTCTTTTGCTATTCTTATCGTGCATGAGGTATGATTCAACTTCTCCTTTTTAATCTGTTGTTATGCTTTCAGATCACGCCTCCTCATAAAGCTAATGAACGCAATGCTAACACAATTCATCCAGTCCCAAACCATGAGGTTACAAATGCAAAATTTTGGAATGCAATCCAGCTCTTGGCTTAGAGTGTAGCCAATCAAAACAATCACCAGGCCCAGTTCCTAAAGACACGAATGGTGGATCAGCTGCAACTAGGGTTTGAGACTTTGTTCGGATGAATCTGCATGAGTTTATAGGGTCACAGGTTGGTGAGGACCCATAAAACTTCATTGATGAGTTTAAGAAGATTCTTGGAGTAATGTAAATGACTGGTACTGAGAGTGCTGAGTTAGCATCCTATCAACTCAAGGATGTAGCTCACATTTGGTTCACGTAGTAGAAGGAAAACAGGGGTGAGAATGCAACTCTTGTGATATGGGATTGTTTCACTGGAGCTTTTCTCGACAGGTTCTTCTCAAGAGAGTTGAGGGAGGCTAAGGCTTAGGAGTTTATGAACTTGAAGCAGGGCTCACTTTCAATCCAAGAACACAGACTGAAGTTCACCCAGCTCTCCAGGTATGCTCCACATATGGTTGTTGATTCGAGGGCACAAATGAGCAAGTTATTGTTTGGAGTATCCAATTTAGTAAAGACCGAGTACAAAATATCTCCATGCTAATGACTCATGCTAAACAAGTTGAGGGAGATAAGCTTAGGGAAATGGCTAAGGACAACAAGAAGACTAGAATAGGGAATTATGAATACTCTAAAAAAAGGTCGGGAGGTGGAAACCACTCACAGTTTCAGCAGAGGTATACATCCCCAGCACCTTCATCATCTAGCGCTCCGTCCCCCAGGTTTCGACAGGATCAGATCAATAGGCATCAGGCTCTAAGTCACAGGGGAGTGCTTTAGGTAATCAGACTTTTCCAACTTGCCTAAAATGTGGTTAGAACCATCCGGGTGAGTGTCTTGCTGGAAGAGAGTGGTGTTTTGGATGCGTTCAGTCTGGTCATAGGTTGAAAGATTGCCCTTCTGCCAGGCAGGGACATGGAGGTAACATGGCTCAGTCTACTACTTCAGCAGCGCCAACAGGTCATCCCACTCAGTAGGGTACCTCATCTAATACAAGTGGTCAGCGCCAGAACAGGTTGTATGCTCTCCAGGCTCACCAGCACCGGGAAGATTCTCCTGATGTGGTCACTAGTACGTTACGAGTCTTTCATTTAGATATTTATGCATTGTTAGATCCAAGGGCTACACTGTCTTTTGTAACTCCCTATATAGCCAAAAATTTCAGTGTCATTCCAAAAACTCTATCAGAACCCTTTTAAGTCTACTCCAATTGGTGACCCAGTTATAGC